CACACACACACACACACAAGCACATGTACAGGCACATACATATGCGCACACACACACCCCCCCAACCTGACAGCAGCTGGTGTGCCCCAGACTCTAACTGGAAAGCAGCCCCCACCCTGATGCTGGCCCCCCAGGAAGCTTTTCTTCCTGTGTCTTCACAGTGTTGTGAAGTATACCTTATGTACTGTCTGGACTTCTCAGCAGAACCCCCCAGCAATAGTGAAGTTCCATCTCTTGTTCTGACTATCATAGATTTAAGGTGGTGGTGGTGGTAAGTGCTGTTGAGGCAGTTCTGACCCATAGCGACCCTGTTTAGAGTTTCCAAGGAGCGGCTGGTGAGCTTGAACCACCGACCTTGCAGTTCAAACCGACTTTGCAGTTCAGCGCATGAACCTATAGCGCCACACCAGGACTCCCTTGGAATGAACTAGAGGGCAGGATAAGCTCTTAAAGATGCTACTAGAATCCATGTGAAACTACTAGAAAAAGAGAGCTGTGTCCATGACTTACAGATGAAAATAAATGAGTAATTTAAAAAAACAATATTCATTCTAATAGCTTCCAACAAAACAGAAAATGTGTTCCAACATACCATGGGGTCTAAGAAGGTAAGCAGTGCTACTTAATGGCTATACACACATACATATTTTCCCAACATTATCAGTTCAAAGTAAGAATTACACAGTCACGCCAGACAACATGCCTTTCGTGCCAGGTTCTTTTCTGCTGTGTGCTTAATCCTCCCCCATGAAGGAGCCCTACGACCACCCCCACATGCAGTCTGGGAGGCTCGCTCACACACACACACACACACACACACACACACACACACACACAGAAGCCACCTTAGTCTGCACCCTGCAGACCAACTCAAGACACAGAGCGACAGTACCGAGATTGCACCTGAATTTTAAAGACAGAAAACCTCGCCACTTTCTGACCTAGGAGAACCCTGGACCTCACTATTTCCAGGGATTTATTTGTGTCACCAGAGCTAGATCTGGTAAACCTGATAACCTGTGAAGTCTAGCCAGCAAAACGGAAGTTCGTACAGACTACATGGTCTCTAGAAAATAGAAGAGCACCTGCGTGCACCCCACTTACTCACACGTGCTCACTCTAAACCGACTCCATGCTAACAGAAGATCAACATATGTGAAGCTTGAAGTGCTCTAGAGGACACTTCAGCTGCATCTTCTTACCTGGACGTCAAATGCCTCCACAGTGCCGTCGAGCAACTTCACCCTGACTTGGACGTGCTTCTCTGGTGCCCGGGCCATTGCTGTCCCCAGGCCTTGTCTAGGCTCCAGCGGGTTCACCCCGGAGGGGCTCTGGGCTCCTAGACGTGTTCCTGGGGTCTGCAGGACTCTGTAGGTCCCTTCGATCTCCCCCATGCTCCACCAGCTAAGAGTGAAGGAGACAGAACAAAGAATCACCACCATGTGTAGGCAACAAGATGTGAAGGTACTGCTCAGGCACACAGGGGCTCTGCCCACTCTTACAGCACCTTGTGAGAGTTGTACAGTAGAAGTCTACCAAAGCCCAAGGCTACCTTCCTCTCATACCCGCATCTACCCAGCGTAAGATGACTATAGCCAATAGGAGCCACGGCTGTCAGACAGGGGACTGACTCCTAGAGTGGAATGGCCCTCACTGACAAGCAGCTCCAGGCTGCGCCTGCCAAGGTAGCTAAGAGCCAACTCTCCTTCACCGTTGTCACCTGACTCTCCATGGGCTCCAAGCAGGCCCTGTCCTGACAATGCTTCCTATGGAGGGAATCTGAACTACAACCTATCAGGTGCTTGGCGGTGGCCAGAAGACTACTCAGGGAAGAAGGGCATGCAGGGACACCAGCGAGGGTGGCCAGGCTTGCCTCCCTTGTCAGCCTTCCACTCTTGGTTTTTCTAATTGGCCCACAGGTAGCAGTGGGCTGGAGGTAACTTCAGACAGCACACTGGACAACAGGCACTTGGCATCAGCACCTTCTATGGACTGGACTGTCCCCAGCACCTGCCATAAGCTGTACTCACAATAGCCCGTTATCATCAGCACCACTTTACTGAGGCAGAGAGGTTCAAATAACAGGCTCAGGGCTACGCCTGACAAGGTCTGAGCAGAGTTACAGGTTAATATCTTCATTCGTTTTAACAAAGACAGAATTGAGCCATACTGTCTTCCTTTTCAATGCATTTACTGATAGAGGTACCCTGTATTTGTGGCAAGTTTTGTTCTTAAGTATTGAATGTCAGCTTAAAGATCTGCATGTCCCAGCAGATAGATCGTGCCGGCGAGCTTGGGCTGACCTGGCAGACACAGAATGTGAGCTGGGGCGTAATGTCAAAGATCTAGTCAGTAAGAAGGCAATTGCTGCAAAGTCAGTTTGTCTCACTGGTGCGCCGTCACAATCTCCCATTAATCTGTAGAAATCTCTTCGAGAGCATCACGGATTAACTGAGTCCCCCCCCAAATGTGTTTCACTATGGCTGGGCCATGATTCACAGTGGCTTGGCAGTTCCGCAATGATGTCATCATCCGCCATAAGCAGCTTTGATGTGATTGGTCAAGCAGTGGTAAGGGGATTCAGTGGGGGATGCAACACCCTTACTCGGGTCCCAGCCCGATTCCATGGATGGGGTTTCTCTGCTGTGAAGCCTGCATCACCTTTTTTCCTGCACGAGATGAAAGGAGAGAGACACAAACAGAGGAGGGCGGGACTACTGCTACCAAGAACAACAACACAGGAGCAGAGCGTGTCCTTTGGACTCTGAGTCCCTCCCTGCACCAAGAACCTCCTACAACAAGGGAAGACTGAGGCCAGGACACATGGAGATCTCCAAGGGAGGCCAGGCTTACAGATGTGGAAAGGAGACAAGGGTCCTCCCCTAGAGGCAACACAGACGGAAGTCTTCCCCGAAGACAGTGCCCTGAGCTCAGGCTTCCAGCCTCGTGAACTGTGAGCCAGTCCTTGTGCAGTTTCTGTTAGAGCAGGACCAGAGATCTGAAAACAGAATTCAGCTCCCTCTATTTCTAGTCTACTCTCTTCTACACGAGCCTGAATGAGCTCAGCTCCTGGCCCTTTGCTATTGACTTAGGTTCTAGGAGCTTCTCAATGACCTGCTGCAACTCCTACCTTCCCTAATAAAGGTCATCTTTCCAAATCCACCAGGGTTGTGAGAAATGTTGTCATACCCTGGACACTGTCTCAGCCACTGACTAGGACCTTACCCTGATGAGTCTCCGGTGGGATAACCGGGGCACACAGCCTTATCCCATATGAGATCACAGATAAGTTATCATGGGTGCTTACAATAAACACTCAAGAAATCCACTCTGTACTCATTTTAGCAAGAGTGAGGTTTATTCAATTTTGCAAAATTGGACGTCAGACCCAGTAGACACGGGCAGTTGTGAAGCATAGCTGGCTCGCCATCTTGAGAAAGTCCCTCCCCCGGTTCCTCTTGACTGAGTACTAGGGGGTTACCCATCTATCCCAGACAGCACCTACTTGTCCTTGATGGTAGCATTCTCATTTAAAATTCGTTTTCCTCTTTCCCCATGAGTTTCCCCTATTTTTATGATGGTTGTATTCCTATTTTAAAGTTTCCAGGTAGTCAAACAAGTTTCTTTCCCTCCCATGAGCTTCTTTTGTTATGCTAGCCTGTTATTCCTTGGACTCCCCTCAGTCCTGAAGATGGACCATCCTAAGAGTTATTTCTCACAAGGGTGAAACTTTCCACACACCCGAGGTGTCAATAAGCAAGCAGAAAACGAGAAAGCTGAAGTCCATGGGGAAAGTACAGTGTGAGGAGCGGAGTGAAATGATGAGACAGCATGTCATTTTACACTGTTCCAAACTCCAAGGACACTGAGCAACTTTGTACTGCCCACACATCTCTGACTAAAACTACAGGGATGAACCAGGCTAGGAACGTGCTACCTGTCCTCTTCAAAGAGCTCCTCTCCAACCAGACCGTGTGCCCCTGGATAACAGGAAGGAAATCATTACTGTCAATGTTTGCTAAGTGTTTCCTTAATTAGTGTCACTGACATCAAAGAACACTAGCTGTCTCATTATGCCATGTGTTTATTGTAAGACTACAACAGAAGACAAAAAAAAAAAAAAAGTAACAAAACATTTGAGAAAATCACTGTTTTCATGCCACTGATAGTAAGCATGAGCTATAGGAATATTCTGAGAACCATTAATAGGAACTTTCTCATTCCAATCTCACAAACTTTTTAGAGTTAAAGAAAAAGTGAGAGAATGCAAATGAAGTTCCTTGCCCCAAACCCCATGGTACCACCAATGTGAGAACAGATCAAAGAAATGCTCTGCAGAGCCTCAGTGTGTCACCACACAACCAAACAAGGAACACCAATGAGCAGGGTCTTCTTAAAGGAAGCAGAGGAACAGAAGGACACCATTAAGTAAAACTACCATCCCTGAAACAGACATACTGCCATTCTTTGTTTACTCTTTATTGTGAATAGGGTGAAGGGTTACAGCTCAGTTTCCCATTCAACAATTTGTACATATCTTGTTTCATCCCCACAATGTAACATCACTTATTTTACTTCCTCCTTGTCTTTCTGATGTTTCTATTCCCGCCTCCCCACCCCAATCCTTCTGTCCTTGGTAAATACTGCCCTTTTGATCTTTGTGGATTATGTTATGATAATTTATCTTCATACTTTCCTTTCTTTAAAAAAAAAAAAGATTCATAGAGTTCCTTTGGCATACGCCATAGCATCCATCATTCTTGAAACCCAAAATATCCTCTGGACAAGTCATGTCTCTTATTTATTCTGCTGGATTAATTCCCACTTGTCATTTTTTCTTAGTTATACACAGAAACATTTCTTCAGACTCCTTTGCTTCTATCCTTTATAAATCATGCATACTTTAAAAAAATGGGCCCGACTTAGCGTACTGCCCAGAGGTGTACCTCTGGATGCAAACGCCTAGAGCTATTATTTTAAGAGTTAGGGTCATAGTCATGCTTGTTGGGAGGGAGGGCTGAGGGGTGGCCTGCCATCGTTTTTTCTTGACCTGGACAGTGCTCTGTTTAGAGTTCATGACGTCCAACATTTGATTCATGTGGTTTTTCTACATTTGTATTTATTTTATATATAAACAGATTTAAAACTTTTTATTTCATCTTTCCTTCAGTGTGAGGGCTGAGATGAGAAAGACAGACCTATTAGATAACTGAAGGACACTCTTCCTGGCTCCAGGAAACTAGAGTCTCTTCTGGCACATCTGATGCATGAATGGAAACCTTCAGAGGTGTCTCACCTTGTAACCAGAAAACTCACATTCTGCTTGGTACTGCTCAGACCAGCTCAAGACTTCGTATGGTCTGAGCTGAGATTCTGGGCCACCACCAATGCAGTGCAATGGTTTCACTTTATATTTGAACTTTCTGGCTTTGGATTTGCGAACCTGCCAAAAATAACTGGTTGGGCTGCAGTCTGCTCTGTGATTGGGCTATTTTATGTACTTTGCAGGGAATGGTCCATTTACTATGCAAATAGGGTATATAAAGTTACCCAATAAAGATTAAGTGACCTTGCGGGGATTGGTCAGTTTGGGGCCTGGTTGGGAGGCCATGCCTTGATATTGATAAGGAACTTGTGTATACAAGCAGGCTTCAAAAAGTTCATGGAACAATTATCTTTCAATTCCATTTTTCAGCAAACGTTTTCAAGCTCCCTCATAAAAGCAGCCAACCTAATAGGACAGAGGTAGAGGAGCAATGGGAGAGAAAGGTGAGGGTGGGATTGTGTGCCTTAGAGTCAGTTCCAACAGCAACCCTGCATAGGGTTTCTGAGGCTGTAAATCTTTTCAGGAGCAGACAGCCTCTGTCTCCCGTGGAACAGCTGCTGTATTCAAAGTGTTGACTTAACAGTTAGCAGCACAACTTGTCCCCTCTATGCTGGGGGCTCCTGAAAGCTGTAGTACGCATCAAGAGCTAACCCCTGAGATGGTCTGAGACGGTAAGCGATGGCAGAAATGGTACGAGTGACAAGAATCGTGGGACCTGCAGTAAGCTGAGGTGGAGCGAACCAATAGAGTCCCTCCGGGCAGGAGGCTTACTGGCAGAGTTGGGGTGACTCCAGGCACCTACTGGCAGAGCCAGAAGAGTTGGAGCACTTGTCTGAGCAGGGCAGAGGCAGGACTAAGAAGGCGCTGGGAGCTGGCCTAGTTGAAAGCTGAACTGACTGACAAAAGCCCACCATCACCACAAGGATCAGCCCTGGACTGCGAACAACAAGGTCACCAGTTCAAATCCAACAGCTGCTTCTCAGAAACCCTATATGGGTCACTGTGGGTCAGAACCGACTTGACAGCACTTAACAACAACAACGCTTCCAAGGTGATCCTGATCCTGAC